GCTTGTCCTGAGGGAGTGATTCACCCAGGGACCCCAAGATGTGACCGGGAGTTGATCCCAATGCTGAATGAGCCCACGCTCAATCTTGTTTTACATTTTTACACCTGCTTCTCTTTTTGTACATTTTTCAGCCCTTCTAAAGCTGTTAGCTGTCATTTCTTGCTGCTTTGAACATGCTATGATCTGCGAAACAAAACCGGACAGCCTCCTTTCAGCTAATAGACTCTTCTGAGTATCTGTTCTGTGTCTGGTGGTGATGGGTTGGGAACTGCCCATATACTGATGATGGTGGTTAGTAATGATGGACATTCATGGAGGGCTGGCTCTACGTCAGCACTCGAATCTCATCATGTGTGTCCTCCCTGTAATCCTCATGGTCGTCTGTGAGGTAGGGGTGTTGTTATCCCCATCCTGCAGGAGAGGAGGCTGAGGCACAGAGAAGTAGAGTGACTCGTTCAAGATCACAGAGCAAAAGATGCATGGCTGGGATTCAATCCTGGGCAGTCCGACTCCCAGAGCCACAATCTTAATGACCCTGCTGCTCAGTATATAGTCTCTTGTTACACCACACCCTCCAAGAAAATGTTTTAGGCTGTGTTTTAAGAATAAGGAAGTCAAAACTCAGAGAAGTAAAGTAACTTGCCCAAAGACACTGACTCCAAAACACTGACCTTTTTTGTGCCACTATGTTGTAACTCTTAGAGAGTCGTCCACTCTGGGGCCAGACTCGTAACCATCGATAATGTAAGACTCAGACCCAGATGGCATGATCAGTGTCCGCAAAGAAAGGATGAAAGGAAAGCCTCTCAACGTGTGTCTCCGCCTGAAGAGCTTTCCTGTGAGAGCCGTGAGTGAAGTTCAAGGCGTTTCTGTTGATGGCTCAGACGTTTCTCCTTCATTTCCTGATTGTAGCTGAGTGCTGGAAGGTGGAGATGGCTGGAGAGTTGGGTTCTGGGTCCAGGGAGTGTTGAGGTATCCCAGAGTTTTAGGATGTAGTGGTAATGCAGGTTATGCACACAAGATCGGGGAGACCTGAGATAAACACGTGATTCGGTTGAGAGAATACGGTTGGTCATTTCTTGGTCCTGATCTCAGGGATATTTTAGAGAAGTGACCTTGTTGTTCTGGACATGTGCTGTTTGTGACCAGTGACAGTTACTTTTTGAAGCACTGCAAGCATTGGATGCTGTCGAACAATTCTGGTGGCACCAGGAGGGAGCCTGGGTGATTTGGGGCATCATCATATAAGGGTTCTTAGGGTACCAAGTTCCGAGTGATTCATTCAGGGAGGCCTCACACCGAGTGGCCCCCTAGAGTCTTGCTTGAAGTTTTGTTCTGCCTTTTCCTTTTTTTTTTTTTAAAGTCCCCTGTCATGCTGTTACCTTGTTAGCTGCCATTTCTTGCTGTGACTGGAAAACTAAACAAGTGTTGACTGAAAAAAAATATGCACAACTAAAAGTTGAGAATTATGCTTTATTCGACAGACATTCTGAGGACTTCAACCCCGGGAGACAGCCTCTCAGGTAGTTTTAAGAGGTAAGGGAGGAGCCAGAATATATAGGAATTCAGGTAGTTGGAGCATCAAAAGGTTACTGTTAATTAAACAAAATCAGATATCTCAGGTTAAAGAATTTAGTGCTCTTCTAAGTATGGGAAGATACAAGAGTCTTGGTTCATTGAAATCATCCCTTTGATATGCACTAGCTATCTAGGGCCACTGTCCGGTTCTTTCCCATTCCAAGTCGCCTCAGGATGCACCCTTGGGGCTGGCTGTGATGGCTGAGGGCTTGATGGCAGGCACCCTGTTTCCATCCTGAGTTCCCTGAGGGCTCACTGTCTAGACAGCTGCAAGGGGATGTTGGCTGCAACATCCTTTGTTTACTGATATGGCAGAAAACATCTTCATTCACATAAGCAAGGTTCGATTCAGTCATTAAGCACTTCTGAGCACCTCCTCTGTGTTGAACTCATCCGAACCCTCAAATAGCAGAATTTTCTAAATATTATAAATAATACTTGTTTGTAAAAAGGAAAAGATGACAACTGAAGAAAATGAGTCACCTTCCAGTCTTTCTTTTCTTAAAGCATAAAGACTTTCACTGCATGGCAAAAGGCAGGAACACAAGCAAATAATGGAATGTCTCCTCCCAGATGTGTAGTGGGATCTGGGTTCTTGGAGCTTCTCTCTCCGGCCAGGTCTACAGTGTCATATAATGAGAAAATTGGTTTAGAGTCATGGCGCTGAGACCTTGCAAATACTTAATCAACATCTGAAAGTTACTTTCTTCATGGCACTGTACTTAGTGTGCTCTGGTCCATTTTAGAATTATTTTTCTGTTGAACAATTTAATTGAATACAGGTTGTATCATTTTATTTAAATGAGGTTTTACTGACTCTTAGAAGTAAATATAATTAAATAATTATATTCAAAGTACATATATTTACATTATAATATATTAATATATTATTAATTATAATTGTATCAGAAGTAAAAAATAATGTAAAAATAAATATTAGGTAATATTTTTGTGTCAATATTCACATACTTGAGAATGACAGTGTTACATAGAAGAACGTCTCTCATCTTAGGTGATGCTTGCTAAATTATCAGTTGAGGAAGCTTTGTGTCTGCAACTTCCAAATGGTTCAGCAAAAAAGAGAGAAAATAAATATGGCAACATGTTAATAACTGGGTGAATCTAGGTGACGAGTACATGGGCTTTCATGGTACTGTCCTTTCCATTTCTCTGTAAGTGTGAACATTTTCAGAATGAAAAGTTGGAAGGGGAAAACGGTAAAGTTCTAGTCCTTTTGTCCTGTACTTTAACCGTCTTTGAAGGCAGAAATCATCATGAATGAAATCTATTGAGATGTCGGGTCTTTATCATAAGCCTCCTATTCCCTTCCTCCACTCTTTTCCTGCCAAGCTTCAAAGCCACCAGTAGAATATTCACTGATACGATGTGCAAGATTATTTTCAGCCAGAAGACAAAAAAAATTCAACTGCTGGTTGACTCAATTTTTTTGGTTTGCTGGGAAGGAGGTGCATGCAGTGTTACTGCCCCCCTGGTGATGCCTCAAACTGCAAGGTTTTCTTTTTGGGAGAGAAAGCGGCCGGCTGTGTGCAGGGGAGGACGTGTGCAGTAGTGAGCAGCCTGTCCTGCAAGGGCTTCCCCACTCTCATGCCCCAGGAAAACACCACCAAGGATTCACCCATGGGCCCCCAGACGTCTCTCAGGTGTGTTGCTGAGTTTAGTGTGGAGACCCAGCTTAACATTTTGATTTTCAGCTGGCAGATGCAAGGACCTCTTTTTAAAAAAAATTGTTAATTTTTTAATTTTATTGTTATTTTAATGGAGGTACTGAGGATTGAACCCAGGACCTCGTGCTTGCTAAGCTTGTGCTCTGTCACTGAGCCCTACCCACCCCTCTCAAAGACCTCTTCTAGATCAAGGGCACCTATGTGGAGGCTTCACTTAGAGTCCACATTTTCGGGAGCCTGAGATGTGTGCTGTGATGTGGATGGTCTGCACTTATGTGCCGTCCCAGGTGCTGCTCCGAGGAGTCCTAACCTTACTCAGGAATGAGGCTGTGATGTCAGTGCACACAGCAGAAACCACATATGGCCAACACTTCTGCTGAAAACCTCTTGAATGGCCTGCAGAGCATATCGTGAGAGGCACCTGGGGACCAAGGCCAGCAGGGAGCAAGGTTCGTGACTCTGTCCCACGTTTACTCTGGGCCCACGCCACTTGAAGGGAACGGCAGTGCAGATGCCAGTCGGCAGGCCATGTGGTCGGCGGAGAGCCCTCTGCAGTTGGACTGCCTGGGTTCAAATCCTAGCCTCGGCACTTCCTAGCTATGTGTCCACGGACAAGTTTCTTGACCTCTGTGTCTATTTTCTCATCCATGAAATGGGAATCATGCCTACTTAACAGGTTATTAGGAAGATTAAATGAATTCATTTATAGGAAGTGCTTGCGATAGTGCTGGCATATAAATTAGTTTTACATATTTACTAACAGTGATTTTTCTTTTCTTCACGTGTTTATGTTTGCTTTCATGTGTGTTAAATGCATTTAAAGTGCACCTCCACTGCAGAGGGTAGAGTGTGAGCTAGTGTTGGCAGTTTAAACAGAAAACATTTGATCTCTTCTTCTTCTAGTCAGGAAGCTTCCACACCGTACCACTCACGTATTCCTTTCAATTGATCCAGGTCGCCTTAGATGTGGGGGAGCCGTTTCTGATCCTCTTATCCTGGTGTAAAGTAACACGTGCTTGACTAGTTAGTAAAAATGGAAGATGGAGTTAGAAAGGACGCCTTTGTTAGCTGTCAGTGGCTGATGGTTGGCTGACCCGTGGCTGCTGCTCCGAGGAAGTGCTCAGTACAGGGAGTGACCTTTGCACCTCTTCCTGGCTCTCCCTCTTGACCCAATGGAGTGAGCCGACCACTGTCATCTTCCTAAGTACTGCAAACCCAATAGGACTGTGGGGAGAGGGAGATGCTAACTCTGGTCTCTCTATTTGGTTCCCTCCTGAGAAAGTGTCCTGAGGCCTCTGCCTTAAATCAAAGGACAGGAATGTTGGGAATGAAACCCATCAGGAATACATCCACCAGAGGCAGGAAATTGAATCAGCGGTGTCTTATCAGGTGCTGATCTTAACCCTCAGAGAGAAGCACCAACAACCCAAGATGCAGATCTACAGATAAGGTTTCGTTGACAACTGGAGGCTTGACAGTTCCAGACCCCTGGGTAGCTCAGAACCCCCTGGTGGATCTGTAATGCCTTCTGGGCAATGAACCAAACTGCCAGGAGTGTCCCAGCTCTCCTTATGACTGTGACTTCTGGTGCCAGGATTCAAGCGGTCTCATTTCTGAGGGCTGCAGGCTCCTTAGCATTAGCTGGTCACAGGGAGTACCTTGCTTTGTTTGCTGCCCCAAGGTTTTTTCAAGGACACGAACACTGGCACAAGTTGGTGATGGGACTAGCGGGCAACCTAGTGGTTGATTTCAGGCCGTGGTAACCTTTATGACTGAAGCTTGAGCCCCTCTGTGACCCGGGGACCCAGCAGGCCTTCTCAGACTGGGGACTTACATGCAAAATTCCTGCTGTCAAGTTTCCCCAGTAGAATGTCCCTTGACAGGCTTGGATCTATCTGGTCATGGATTTCAGACTGGAATATAAAAGTTTAATTGAGTAGAGAAGCCAGGGAGAGATTAAAGTCCTATCACCATCTGAGCATGGTTAAATTAATCATAGCACGTGGCTATGGGGAGATTTATCCAGCCATCAAAGACACATTTTCTAAGGAAAGGTAATGTCAGAGGAAAATGCTCACGAACTATCCAGTCACGGTGGGCAGAAGAGACAGGGAACTGCTGGTGCCAGGGCCCAGTTCCAGAGACACTGTCATACATGTCATGTGTGTGTGAAAATCGACTGTAGATTACTGATGATTATCTCAGGGCAGTTGAAACACACATGATTTTAGTTTTCTTCCCTATACTTCTAATATTTGCTAAATTCTATGTCCTGAGCATAAAAACATGTTGCAGTGTTTCCTAATGTGAAGTGTTCTGCAGTGAGGAGAGGCTGAAGAGCCCTGAATCCTCAGGGGTGGATCCTTCTTTGGACTGTACGCGGGGGCAGGGCTGAAACAGTGCAGAGCCCACAGGCCTCGTCCTCTTCTCTTCCTTTCAGCTCTGAGGCTGGGCTTTCCTGCTCTGTTGGTAGATGTGATTGTACCAGTTTGCTTAAGTTTGTTGTTTATGCTAGCTTTTCTTTTTAATTGAGGTGTAGTTGATACACAATATTATATAAGTTACAAGTGTACAACATAATGACTCAGTTTTTAAAGGTTATACTCCATTTAGAGTTATTATAAAATATGGCTATATTCCCTGTGTTGTACAGTATATCCTTGTAGCTTATTTTATGCTAGCTTTTTGATGGGCAGGAGAAGTACACATTCATTGATTTAGATTTTTTTAAAATACTTGATGAACTCAAGATGATCGTTGGAAGACTCAGTTCAGATCCAGAGACCCTTACGTATATTCCTATTATATGAAAAACTCTGAAAACAGTTTTTGCCTTCAACTTATTTACTGGCATGATGGGGTGGGTGGGTGTCCTTTGAACAGCAGTAACCACAGGCAAGGAGGTGTGTTCAGGAGCATGTGGGCAGCTTCCTCTTCTCTGATGTCCTATTTGCCCACGAGTGACCCAGGTGAGCCAGGACACGGTCAGAGGGCTTCAACTCTGTGAGTCACTTTTCTGTAACACTGAAGGCTGGAAGGCTATAGAAATACCCTGCAGTTGGCCAGAAAGACCTATGACCACAGAGATGCAGACAAAGCTGCTTCACCTTCTCTTCTTCCCTCATGCCCTCTCATTATTGGCAAAGATTGGAGACAATCATATCTACCCACTGGGATGGAATGGATTCTCCCCTCCTCCATTCCCAATAAATGGAGTAGATAGATGTTTAAGTAAAGTTAACCGAACTGGAAAAGAGTTTATGATTCACATTCATTTCATGGTAAAGAAACAAGAAATACAGAGCAAAGAGAGGAAAACAAAAGTGTAGATACATTCACAGTTCTTAACCAGGTTGTTGCAACTTACAGCCTCTTCTTGTTGGGTACCCAGAGTTTGAGCTCATCCCCCACCCCCAATTCTCTTGTTCTGAAAGAAAGGATGAAAAAAGCTATGCAGAGATGTATGAGCTCTGATTATGCCCAATTACATTTGGCAAGCCCAAGACAAAAATTAATGGGACCAGATTATTCTTCTGCACGAGACGTCGTATTGCCCAGCCTAACGATTTTAGCTCTTACCATGCCATAGATCGTCAAACAAATTAATAGCATGCTAATGGTGCCTTTCAGGCTTCTCGTTTATATTAATGAGTTCCACTCCATCCGATAACCAGTGATTTATAGCACTGGAACTTGGAGCCGGGCTGTAAAGATTGTCTTTTGTCACTCTTTTTTGGGGTGGGGCAGCCAGCCTAACAAGCTAAATGGTAGGGTTTTGTAATTGAATTCTAAAATGTGAAACGCCTGGTGCGAGAACATTTCATTCTGATCATGGCTCTGGAAATTGAAAGGCCTTCAGTGTGTCTCCCACTACCCAAAGCTGAATGCAGTCTGATTTGGGTTTCCGCGACTTGTGAAACAAGAGTGTGACATGATTCTTAATGTAGAGGTATTCATGCTGAGCTAGCATGGCCGTTAGATGCAGTGGGCTGTATAATAGCTCCTCTAAAAGAAAACAATATATTTTTAACAGCCATACAAGAAACCCTTTCCTTAACCTTAGCGGTGCTTGCATCCCTTACCCTTATCCCTCCCTTCCTCATGAATAAGAGGCAGAGAGCGCCGACTGGGTGCCAGGCTCATTTAATCTATTTTATTCTGGTCTCATTTAATCTTCTCAATGGTTCTAAGAAGTAGGTAGTAATACTACTCTCATTTGACAAAGACCAAACTGGCATACAGAGAGGTTAAGTAGCTCATCACGGTTCTTAGAGCTGCTAAGTGGTGGAGCCAGAGTGCCAATCTCGGCCACATTCTGCTGCCCCACCCAGATGGTCCCAATGTAGGAGCAACACAGTGTGGGGGCCCCAGATGGGCAAACTCAAAATGCCCTTGGCATGGGGACCCAAAATGTACTTGCTGTCAGTTTGAGCCTGGGAAAAAGTGCCCTTTGCAAATGGAAGGCCCATCCCCCAAAGGCTCAGGCAGGGTTCATTTGCTGGCAGCCAAAAATGCCCCATCAGGAGTGATGGGCGGGCAGGTCCCTGGTGGAGAAAGATCTACAGAGCTGAGCCTCCTCGGGCTTCACAGACAACTGCCCTAGTTGTTTTGCACGAGGGCTATACTGTCACAACTTTGCAAGCACACAGTCTTTCTAAACCAGGGAACCCAATACCCTTGGAGATCTTGGCTTAAACATCATAGGAACATCTTGCTTAAATGATTCTTTTTTCACATCAATTTGGATTCATTTTCTCTGGTCTGTGGCCACCGTGTGTAGCTGTGTCCTAGAAACGATCTGAAGCAATAGTCTGGAAATTTAATTGACATGGCATTTCTGCCTCCCAGTCCAAACCCCTGCCCAATCCATTCTTTTCACCGACTTTGATTTTGATTCTTTTACAATCACCAGCCATTCCAGAAAAACATCTGCTAAAAAGATCCATCCCCTGTAGTGGGAATTAAGTACATATTTTAACTTCAGACAATTTTACTTAACTTTTTCTATGTTGCATGGAGCAGAGGATTAATGCAGACGTCCCTGAGAAGCTCCTATGAAACCTTAAGCTGCATCTTCAATCACTCCAACTGTTCAAGGGCCAGAATTTAAAAGAGATTGAGGAAGCCTCAAGAATGAAATTAGAACAGGGATCTTTATTAACTTAAACATTTATGCAGGCCCAGTTGTATGTAGGAAACACTAAACTCTTTTGCTTTGGCATACCCAAGCTGAACGCTGGTTTTTGATGGGAAGACCAGAAAGTAAAATGGCTTTTTAAAGTAATTAATTTAAAAGAAGAGGGAAGAAATGAGATTTTCCCCCCAAGTTTTTTTTTCTTCTGTAAACTTCTTTGTTTGTTTATTGTTTTTATTTTGTGAGGGAGTTAATTAAGTTTATTTATTTACTTATTTTAAGTACCCAGAACCTTGTGCATGCTAAGCATGCATTCTACCACTGAGCTATACCACTCCCCGCCGCCCCCACCATAATCTCCCCCTTGCATTTTAAAGGTAGAAATTAAGACCTGAGTTTTATGCCAAAGTTACACCATAAGTGATTGAGTCTGGTCGGTAATGTTGCAGCAAAGTGTGGGTATGTATTTTGTGATGTATGTTGGAGTGATGGGTAACCCAGAGTCCTGGGTTCTGGTTCCATTTCTTACACACCATGTATGATCTTGGTTAAGTCACTGAGCCTCTCTGAGTCTGAGTGAGATGATAAAAATAGGACAAATTTTCTGTTTACACTCAGCTTGAAAATTCTCTAGTGTGGTTATACTTTCATATTCAGATATTCTACTCTGCAGCACATTAGAAAGTGTTAACCAGAATTTGGCTGGCATTGTTTACGTTAACTACTTAAAATGTAAGTAGTTGAAGAGACTGGAGAGAGTAAGCATAAGACACAAAGGCCTCCGAGAGGCAGGGACCTTTAAGGAAAAGCAGATTCATTCTGAAATTCAGAGTATCTCCTGTGTGCCAGGTATGAGGCTCGCAAGGAGGGATATTAAGTGAATTACACATTCATTTTGTATATGAACATACACAAATGGCCAAAGCTAAATCTGTCTTCTTTAAAGTGAAATACTTTTAAAAGGTGGAGGGGATCTTTTTGTTTTGTGTGTTTGTTTTTTGTCATGGTAAGCCATATACATATAGCTAAATTATATAAATGAATAAAAGCCTAACTTACTGGCAGTCTTCTTCAAACTCATTATGGATGGTGGTAAATTTTTCTGGATCTTTGAGCAAGTCATCCAGAAATCTATGCCTTTTTTTTTTTTTTAACCATTTCTTCACCATCTTGCTGTAATTGAAATCTGCCTGGATCTGGAGGACATTACTGTCCCTGCAGCCTTCTCAAGCAGTGGCTGTTTATTTCTCCCACATCCTGTGCACACAGGGCCTGGATACAGGTCAGAACTGTCCCTTGCTCCTTATTGTCATTTCCAGAACATTTACCCCTGTTTTCTCCTGAAAAAGAAAAAAAAACCCAGTTTCTTTGAAGCATACAGCATTTCAGATTATGCCGCCTGCTATCCCTGCTTATTCCAGTCCTCTGTATGTCCCCAGATCCCTACCCCCACCCCCTTCCTAAGTGATTTCGGCCCCGGCTTCCACGGTGATTCCTGCCTCATTCTGTGCAGCATCAGCATCCACAGAGAACACTGGTCTTTGGTTCCTTTACCTCCTCATTTCTGATGGTCTTGTCCTTTATCTGACTTCAGCTACCTGCTCCCAGGGTCATATCCTGAGCCCTGTTATGACCAATGACCGCATCATCTCTGAAATCACCTTTTTAAACTTCCTTCTCTCTGACCACCACCAACTAACACTCAAGTGGTTCCTCCATTCCAGACAGCCCTCCAATCCATTGACCGGGAACACTCTCCATCCTTCTCTTCCTTCCCTTCCTGCCCACCTCAGGCTTCATGGCCCGTCACGGTAATCACTGCCCTGCCTTGCACTTTGTCTTACACTCTCCGGAAAATTCTAACCTTGGTTAAACCCAGCTCTGCCCTCTCCATGCTGGCATCCAAGCAGCTCAACGTGGCAGAGAAGAACAAGCACACGACCATGCTGCTGGGAATCGCGTTGCACGTATAGCCGCATACCTGTCACCTGAGCCTTCTGCTGTGCTTGGCAAGCCCACTGCATTCCATAGTCAGTTCACTGTCATTTTCCCACACCTCCTCTTCTCTCTGAACCTTTAACACCTTCACATTTAACTGCTGACGTTGTCTTATACAGCACTGACAAGACAGATGCGATCAGAAGGGAATCTCCATACATTTCCTTTGCCAAACTGAATATTCTTCCTGCATCTGAATCCACGTACCTGCCACCCTCCAGTGGCTGACCAGTCTCTCCCCTGTCTGTGGTCAGCCCACCACTTGGACCTCCACATCCCACCACCTCTCAGCTCCCTCAAGGCCCTGCTCCCTTAGTTCTCCCATCTCTGCTGGATCATTCTCTGCTGGATCATTCTCATTAGCAGACAAATGCACCATCTTATATAAGCACCATCTTAATTTCTTTTTTTCTTTCACAGACACCGTGCTCACTGTCCCCTCCCATTCCTGTGTCCCAGTTTACAGTGAAACCTCCAGAAAGCGTTGTCTATAGTCAGTGTGAGCGCTTTCTCACTTCTCGTTCTCTCTGTAGGACCATCAGCAATTGAGATTTCACCTGCACCCCTCGGTGGAAGTTGCCCTTGTTAGGGTATCAGCAGCTTCCGTCTTGTCAGATATTCATCTCTTCCCCAGGTCCTCATCATACTGGCCCTCTCAGAAACATCATTCTTGTCTTTTGACTTTTATTTTGAGGCAACTTCACATGTAGGTGCAAGAACAGAACGCAAAATCTCCCTGTGTCCTACATCCAGGTCCCAGCTATTAATGAACATTTTACCATCTCTGCCCTACCCCACCTCCATCCGTCTCTCACGGTGTGTGCGCGTGCACGCACAGATTTCTCTCCCCACCTTCTGAGGGTGTCTCAGCAGCATTTGGCACAGCTGGTCACTCATTCCCTCTTGGAACAGTTCCTTCGCTTGGCGTCTGTGGCCCCACACTGTTGCCTCACAGTCCCCTTTTGTGAGTTCTTCCTCCTCCTCCTCCCTGGCACCCAGCCCTGAGAGCTCTTCATCCCTGCTAGGTCCCTGGCCATCTCATTTGGCTCTAAGGTCTCACTTTATGCCTCTAGCCCAGACTGCCTCCCTCAGACCCAGCCTCTTCTCTGCCTCCTTACGTCTCCATCACACATCACAGGCCCAGAATGGGGTCCTGCCTTCACCTGCCCAAACACTGCTTCTTGCCCAGTGCCTCCACATATCAGCAAATGGCACATTCTGGTCACTCTGCCAAAAACCCAGCAGTTCCCCTCCATTAGCCATCCTGTTGGCTCTGCCTTCAAAGAGTCCTCTCTTTCCAGCACTCTTTCTCTAATCTGAGCGACATCTTCCCTCTCCCCCTCTCTATCTTCCTCACCCGTCTCCCTGCCCTCACTCTTGCTCCCTGAAAACCAGAGCGTACCATGCCCCTCCCCTGGCCCAAGGCCTCTCGTCACACTTAGAATAAGAGCCAAAATGAGCTACGTGCCCTTTGTGAGCTGGCTCTGGCCTTCCTGGGTGACCCCTTTGTTACCACCCCTCAGGGCTTTGTACCTGCTGTTACCTTCACCCAGGTGGCCCTGTCCCAGGCTCCCTCGCTTGGTGCAGCTTTCAGCTTCACTGTCACCTCCTCCAAGAGGCCTTCCCTGACCTCCCTTTGAGAGAGCTCCACCCTCCATCCGTTTCTGTTCTTTCTTTGTTTAGTGTTTCTTCACATACACAACTGCTGTCTACCATGTATATTTGCTTATTGTCTATCAGACCCTTGAGGCAGGACTTCTGTTTACTACTAAATGCTCTGGCAGATAGGAGTATTCCATAAAGTACTCTATATTCCAGTGGGACAAAGGCAAAAAGGCCACCTGGTTTCTGAGAAGAGTAGACTTTCTCCGTGGCCTTGGCCAGGCTGCCATCTTCACAAACTATGACTAAAAAAATCCTCAAGGAAACTGGCTGGTTTCAGGTCGAGGCCAACATTTTACCAATTTGCAAAGTAGGAAAGATCATCTTTGTGCCACAAGGCATGTAGCTCCTTGCAGCTGTTTTAAAAGTTTCCAAGTACGTCTTTGCTAAATTGTTCCCAGTCCTCTCTTAGAACACTGTTGCTTTCCCTTCCTTCATTACTGGGGAGGGAGCGGGGTTATTGGATGAACAGAAGGAATGCAGTCTTGGTGCTGATCCAGTGGACTTTAGACCAGGTTGCACGCAGAATGAAATATCTGTTTGATTTAAGGTCTACTTAGACGTGCCTCCCACCTTCCCCAGTTCATTAGCTCTAGAAAATAAATGGGCTGGGTTTGGGACTCAGCAAATTAATATTTATGGCCTCTGTTTTAGAGGTGTCAGTCAGTTGAGCTCAGATTCCTAGTGCATTCATTTAAATGTACCTTTGTATTATTTGTGTAAGCCACTCAAAACCTTAAAAAAAAACTCTGACTGGTTACAAGTAGGGATGGTTCTTCGCAGACGGTTTTGCCCAGCTAAAAGCCCATTGGCGTTAAGTAATAATATTAAAAACAATTTTTAAAAGAAATGTAATCAAGATCAACTAAAGGAGCAGTTTTCAGTGCTGTGTCCCGCCCCCAGAGAGTGCAGAGCCATCTCTGTCCCAGCCTGTGATCTGCAGAGTAGAATTGCCAGTTTTACAGCCCACGTGTTCAGCCAACAAAGGGGTCTCCGGCTCTTGCTCCTTCAGGCTGGGAATGTGTTTTCAGACCCCGCACCCCCGCATGAGAGGCTGGCCGGGAAGCAGAAGCTGGTCCACTTGGGATGAAGACATCAAAGCGGATTCTGATCCAATTAGAAAAAGATACTATTGTCCTCTGAATTCCCAAAGTTAGCAGGCTGTTAGAAACACTTAGCCAGTTTCCTTGGGGATCGCTGTGGCATTGACTTAGATCTGGAGCTCATTGATATGCACACATCTCGACAGACCCCAGTCTCTCATAAGTGCAGGGAGCCTGGGAAACCCGGGCACCACTTGCTTCCTTCCCACCCTGCAGATGAAGATTTTCAGCGTTTGAACAGTGGCTGTAAAATGCTGTTTTTCCTCGCTTGGTCTTAAGCGAGTGTTAGTCTCTTGCGTCTTAGAAAGAAGAATATGAACACTTTATTGGGGAAAAATTTTATAACTGTTTCCATTTATAGCACTTCAGAGAATGAACACGGGAAATAGTTTAAGCTGGTAATTTTAGCCATTAGTCCTAACTGTGGAATTCCCAGAGACACTTATCCATCTGTGTTCGAGTCACAATTATTCTGTCCTCTTTGGCACACACTTTCCTTTTGTTCTACTTTTTTCCCCTCTGAAGCTTTTCTGAAGGCCACCTGTCCTTGATGATGTATAGATGATTTTCATATCTACCATATGTGGCTAATGAGCTGCTTAAAATATCTTTCTTTGACTACTGCCTCCTATTACAGAGAAGATCACTTTTAAAGTTTAGAAACTATTTTCTTGGGGTTACTTGGATTGGCGTGGACTGCTGAGATCAGGGAGGAATTGGATATAATAATCTTGACAAGAGAAAACTGAGCCTTGTCTGCTCACAGTGTACAGTGTGACCTCTAACTCCAGCTGCCAACGTGAAAATGCAGAATACTGATCTCGGATGGGACTGGGCGAGGGAGGATAGCTACTTCCTCCCAAATCCAATCCCACTCTGCAAAGACACATGCCCTAGTCCAGTTGTTTCTATGCTTTAATCCTTTAATGATTTCAAAACCATTTCATCTTAGAAGTTTGAGATTTGCAAATGTTAACCACTGTGTATAAAAATAGATAAACACATTTCTTCTGTATAGCTCAGGAAACTATATTCAGTATCTTGTAATAATCCTTAAAAGGATTATGAAAATGAATATATATATATATGCATGACTGGGACACTATACTGTACACCAGAAATTGACAGATTGTAACTGACTATACTTCAATTTAAAGAAAAGAAAACCAAAACAAAATCATTTCTTGATTTTGTCTGTATCTAAATACAGTTTGACTATATCATACTCAATATTTCTCTTGAAATCAATTTTTAAAAATTTAGCCTTGTTCTGAGCAATACTATCCATAATACTGAGTTTTTGGTGGACTTCTTGTTTTTTTCCTAACACATTATACACGTTACTATTAAAATTTTTTAATGTTAATCCAGCTGCCACTAAATTTCCCAGAGCTGCACTTACAGAATTATTTCTTTAGTATAAGTGCCATTTGTCTGAAATAACGATTTAGACATTACTTTGGAGGAGTCAGAGGGTCTGAATTTAGAGTATACATAGATGAGAAGCCTCATTCCGATTTCAGAAATGCAAAAACAAGGGGCCATGCATAAGCACACTGTGGTTCTATACAAAAGTTGGGAATTTGCAAGACTGTCTCTGAAGGTAAAGAAAAGAACGTTTTAAAAGGTAGAACCAAAATAAAGATTAGAATGGAATCATTAGGGTGCCCACACCATTTAAGATGTTTAGTTTTTTTTTTTTAAAAAGAGGGGGAGGTTAAAAAAAATAAAAAATCTAAAAAATAAAATAAAATAATTTTTTTTCAAAAAAGCGTGGGAGGGCTAAGAAAGTGATTCATTCAGTCCAACAACCTGCTACGTGTCCCGGCTACTGAAGTGTACGCACACTTGGGCGCGTGTATTTGGATCTCTCTTGCACTCACTCTCTTTCAAGTAAGCATAACTTGATGGCCAGCCCTCTGGCCCAGATATCTCAGATGGAGTCCCCTTTGCCAGCTCGCCTGAACAGAGCAGTACCTCACCCAGGTAATCCTCATTATGGTATAATCCCATGTCATATCTTTAGAACCCTGCAAAACATGACATTTTTTTTTTTGCTTATTTTTGTCTGATAATACTCAATCATTGTAACAAATTAAAAGAACCCAAGGAGTACAAATGGATTCCATGATCCTACCCTCAGAGATACATCCAGACTTTAGCAGTATTACCTTTCTATCTTCTACAATTTTTTTTCATTTTTTAATATATTTTTGAACTGTGGTAAAAAAAAAATAAATAAAATGTATCTTCTTAACCATTTTAGTGTGCAACTCAGTAGGCTTAAATATATTCACAGTGGTATAAAACAAATCTCCAAGATTTTTCCTTTTGCAAATCTGAAACTCTACACTCATTAAATAACTCCCCTTTCCTGCTCCCCCCAGCCCCTGGTGACCACTCTACTTCCTGTTTTGATGAATTTTACTGCTTTAGATCCCTCATATAAGTAGAATCATACAATGTTTGTCTTTTTGTGACTGCTTTATTTCACTTTGTGTAATGTCCATAAGGTTCATCCATGTTGGAGCATGTAACAGGATCTCCTTCATTTTTGAGGAAGAATAATATTCAATTGTATGTATATACCACATTTTATTTATCCATCATCCACTGATGGACATTTGGGTTGCGTCAATCTCTTTATTATGAATAATGCTGCTGTGAACTCGGATATGCAAATGATCTCTTCTAGACTCTACTTTCAGTTCTTTTGGGTACACACCCAGAAGTGGGATTGCTAGATGATATGGTAGTTCTGTTTTTATTATTTTGAGGCATCTCCATGCTGTTTTTCACAGTGGTTGTACCATTTTACCATCACACCAACGGTGTGCGGGGGTTTCAGTTTCCCCACATCCTCTCCAACATTCGTCATTTCCTGATTTTCAGATAGTATCCATCCTGACAGGTGTGGGGCAGTACGTCATCGTGTATCCTTCCTGTCTTTATATGGTCTATGAAGACGCACCTTTAAAACATAAGTGCGATCATATTATATGTGCTTTCTTTATAGAAAAGGGCTTCTCTCTCTTGCTATGTTTTTGTAAAAAGCTATTAATGTGCATAAATATTTTAACTCTTAGTGTCAAGGGAAGAAAACAAGCCAAAGCAGACTAGGTAGGATTTTGTTTTGTTTTGTTAGACTAGGTATTTTTTAACAACTGTGATAATAAATCCATTTGGAATTATCTTTTAATTCTATTTTGTGTATGAAAATAATTTATAATAAAATAAATAAAAGTTTATAATAAAAACTTTCAAGGAGAGGAGGGTATATAGCTCAGTGGTAGAGTGCAAGCTTAGCATGCCTGAGGTCCTGGGTTCAATCCCCAGTACCTCCATTAAACATAAATAAATAAATCGAATTACTTCTCCCCCTAAAACAAACAAAAAAATTTTTTTAAAGAAACATTAAAAAAACTTTCAATACCCCAATGTTTTTCTTAATTCACATTTTTTCTGACTTTAGGATAACAAAAATGGAATGAGCTAACTTTCGTGTGCTCGTTTGCTTACTCTTAGGGAGGTGTTAGCTTAGAGAGGTGTGAGCAGATGTGGAAATTGGTGTTCTGAGAAAGTCCAGGGTGAGGGCTTTGGGGCATGTAAAAATCCAAGGCAGTGGGAGAAGCATTTGGGGGCCTGCATCAAATTTCCATTGTAGGGTCAATACAGCTGGATTTCCTGCCATTTCAGAGTTCCATTCAAATGTCTTCAGCGGCTAGGCCATTCATCTTTGTTAATTTGTTTTAATGAAGATGTTGGAAGCAAGGAAGTTGGGAACAGTGAGGACTGTAGTCAGCTGCAGGCCTTACCTGAGGCTCTTCAAATTTAACCTTTAACAAAAGCAAAGCTGTGTGGGCCAAACAACACACATCTAGTTTGAACTGGGCTCACAGGTGCAATTTGACATCTGCTGTGGCGCTCTGGTTCTTTACGGGATATTCTTTGCCTTGGGGGTCGGTTCACCATCTCTCAGGTTTTGGTTACCTGCCCCTAGAACTCCCTTGTTCAGGCCCTAGGCTATCGTGCTCCTGGCTCATGCCCAGGGCCCGATCTGTCTGGCTCCTGCCGGGAAGGACCATCTCATGAGTTGACTTTAATAAGCCATTTGGATGGGCAGGAAGACTTGAGGTCAGGGTAGCTTCAAGTTATGGCCTGAGCAGAGTTGGTTTGTGGGGTCCCAAGAATGCCGTGAGTGTCCTGGTGGTCCTGGAGTCAGGCCTGGGTGGATTCCAACTCTACTGCTTACCAGTTGTGTGGTTCTGGGAGGTACATTGCTTTGCCTATCTAGACTTCATGTTCTGCCCCCTGAGAATGGGATAATAATGACAGTGACAAAGGGGTTGTCATGAGATTGAATAAGACAGTGTGGGGAGTGCCCACCACATGGTCAGCCCTACATTAGTTAGCATTAACCATGGCTGTTGGGACTTGGAAGCCTTGTGGATGTGCCATGGTGAACACCTAAAATTAAATGCAGAATGTTGCATTGATGTGCACTTTATTTTTCCCTGGTGAAAGATTCATCACCTTTCATCAGATTCTAAACATCAACCGTGGTAACGTAGCGACCCCATGTTCAGGGATGCCGAGGAAGTTGTCACAGGACTCAGATGTTGGGGAACCGACAAGCATATCCTCCTAGACCTGGAAGCACAGAGTTATGCTTGGTTGGCTCTTCCCAGCCCCGACAGAACTTGACGGCTCATAGATTTATGCCATTGACCCACTTTCTCCAAGGGCAGAGCCAGTTTTCCAGGCGATGCCGACATCAGAATTGGAAAAGCAGATTCTCAGTCTGCCGTTGTGACCTCCATGAAAATGGCCATGCTGCTGGGTTTCCATTTGAAGGCAGGGGTGGGGGCATGTGATGAATAACCCCAGAGGGACTGTGAAGGTCACTGCTGATGTTATGACCAGATGCCAGAGTGTCCAGAGAAGGAAACTGTGCTTGGTGTCAGGGCTATAAAGTGGGGCATTGCCCAGTATATTCTGCTGTGACCCTCCCTCCACCTTCCTCGTGCACCCGGGGAGGGACTTCTGCAGCAGCGCGGACCCCCGGCTTCTAGGGCAATGGCCTTGGACACATGGCTGAGGGTCATCCTTCATTGTCATCTCCCGTAGACCTGTGAGTCCCTAACCGTCCTCTTTCACCTCCCCCTCTCCCCAGGCAGTAGACGAAACACAGAAAACTAATGAGGCAGTGAGAAAGTAACGCATCTAGTGCTCTGTCCTTCCCTTCGATTCTTTCAGACCTGATTCAGAGTGCTCACAAAACTTGGAAGGGGTGCACGGCTTCAGGAGGCCTGGCTGTTACTGGAAATCTCTGATGATTCTTGCACTTAGGATAGCCCCAGCGTGTTCTCATCTCTGGTTCATTTGCTTTGTTGATGCCGTGGGTGTTTTTAGATGATTGAATAGAAATTGGTGGAGAAAAAGTCAGATGGGAAAGGATGGATAGTGGGACAGACGGATGGATAGATATGTGATAAATAAGAATAGCAAAATGGACGCAATAGACTCTGGGTGGTGGCCATGCAGGTGCTCACTGTGAAATGCTTTCAATTTTGCTATATGTTTGAAGATTTTAATAATCAAATATAGGAAATGAGATGAGATATTTGGGCATAAAACGTTTGGAAAGTGACAAAAGAGGAAATTTATCGATTTGGGATTTCTCCTCCCCCCA